ATATATATATATATATATATATATATATATATATATATATATATATATATATATATATATATATATATATATATATATATATATATATATATATATATATATATATATATATATATATATATATATATATATATATATATATATATATATATATATATATATATATATATATATATATATATATATATATATATATATATATATATATATATATATATATATATATATATATATATATATATTTATTTATTTATTTATCATTATTAATTTATGTATTATTTCATTCATTCATTTAGTCATTTATTCTACTGCTCAGCATAAATAGGTAAACATTTTTTATCCATACATTTTTCAGTATATTAAGGTAATATATTTTGGTGCATTTGAACAAAACAGATTTCATAGATTTAATATTTTTTTCCTAACATATAAATTCAGGCTATTAATTTTTTGGACTGTTATGAAGTTATTTTGTCAGATTAGCTCCAGATTAATCTTCAGCAATCTATAGAAAATATAAATGCATAAGAGGTGTACTAATATATGCTGAACACTATAGGGATTTCAATATAAGACTTTAGCATATGCAGGTTTTGCATACTTCTGGGACTAGGAATAGTTAACAGGTTATAGTAATTGTTAAATGAACTGTATTTCTCACCTGGCCATTAATAGCAGAAAATAATACAAATGAATTATGGGATTCTGGCTTCAGGTTCAGTATTAATTTACTAATTCAAATATTCCTTCATCTGGGTGTTCATATAGAGGAGCTGAAATTAGTTCAAGGCAATTACTCATGAATGATAAAACAAATCAACACAGTTCAAATGAAATCAGCTGGGAGAATTGAAAGCACACATTTTACAGCTCTTTGTGTAAAGTATTTATGCTAAGTGAAGATTTGACAAGCACCGATCAAGCTTTTCAGGTCAGACAATATCCATTTCTCTATTTATACTCTTTAAATAGTATCATTCATTCATTCATTTTCCTTCAGCCTAGTCCTTTATTTATCGGAGTTTGTCACGTTGGAATGAACCACCAACTATTCCAGCATATTTGTGCTTCACAGCAGTTGCCATTCCAACTACAACCCAGCACTGGGAAACACACTCAATACATCAATACACACTTATTCACATTTATATACTACAGATAAGTTTATTCAATTCACCTATAGCACATGTGGTGGAAACCAGAGCACCCAGAGGAAACCCACACCAATACGGGGAGAACATGCAAACTCCACACAGAAATGGCGACTGACCCAGCCGAGACTCGAACCAGTGCCTTATTCTGACTCTCATTTTTTTTATGTTTGTTGAAGTTCACTTCTTTTTTTTCTCTTTAAATAAGTAAATTAAATTAAATGAAAAATACACTAATTGCTTTTGATTATTATATAGAAATACAATCAATCAATTAATCAATCAATCCCCCAACCAACTAATCAATCAACAACAAAAAACAACTACCAACCAACCAACCAACCAACCAGAAAAACAACTAAATAACAAAACATAAAAAATACATTAAATTAAATTATTTAAATAAAATCTTAATAATCACACACACACACACACACACACACACACACACACACACACACACACACACACACACACATTGTAATCAATTAATCAATCAATGTGTTAGTCAGTCAAACATTCAAAAAACAACCAAACATAAAATTTATCATTTAAAAAAAAACTACCTAAAGAAGAAAAAAAAACTACCAACCAAGCAAAAAACAAAAACAAAAAACAATCATTCAAATAAAATAATTCAATCAATCAATATATCAGTTAATCAATCAATTAATCAATAAATCAATCATTTAACCAACCAACCAAACAACTAAAAAAACAACCTACCAAAAAAATATGTCAATCCAACAATCAGTCAGTCAGTCACTCAATCAACCAAACATAAAAAAAAACAACCAACAAACCAATCCATCAACCATCCATCTTATAAAAATCAATCAATCAATCTATAGATCAATCAATCATTCAATCAAAAAAACAACCAACCAAAAAAAATCAATCAATCAATCAGTCAGTGTCGTGGGGAATTTAAATAACAGCCCAATGGATTTGTGTTATCATTAATCCATTTTAATCAAATATCCACAGGTGTTTTAGCTTCATTTTAAATCAGTGTAACTGTAATTGTTATAAAGTTGAACAAAACACTCTTTTTCCCCTCTCTGAAATAAAAAGGGAAACATAGAAGAGCTTCTTTTCCGTTTCCATTTCACACACTCAAATCAGCCGAACATTTTTAGTTTTTTTTTTAGTGATGATGAAATATCTTTTGCTTTGTCTTCCATGCAGTATCTTCATTAAGACAGCATCAGTCTCACACAAGCCGGAAATGAAGGCGTCTCTTCACCAGCACTTCATTAGACATGCTATCTCATGCTCCCTGATTCTTTCTGAGAGCCTCAATTTGGATCAACACTGTCGTCTCTGCCAGACACAGCAAAACCAGGACAAGACAAAACAGCCAAAGAACAAAATCCAACCGGATGACTTACACAACCAATAGAGCTTCATTTGAAATGCATGCACTTCAGAACATGGCAGAAAAAAGAAAGAATACGACAATAGCCTAAAAAAATAAACCCTCAGCTCTGAATCTGCCATAGGAAACGATCTGCATATAATAGACATGAGTCGTGCATGAAATCACATTGTTATGTGGGGAGATTTGGTTTCAGTCCTGCATGATATGTGCACACAGCTGTGTGTGGATCTGCACATGTCTGTGCTGAATGTGAAATTCAATCCAGAGGCAATTTTTAGACACAGCACAACTCTCCAGAAATAACAATGCACCAAACTAGAGAGACATTACAAGAAATACAATAGTTGGACCCAAATGTAAAATAAAATAAAATAAAATAAAATTAAATTAAATTAAATTAAATTAAATTAAATTAAATTAAATTAAATTAAATTAAACGTAACACTTTAAATTTATGGTCAATTAGTTCAAGTTAGGTAATGTTAACATGGACTTAGTTCAAGTTAGGTAATGTTAACATGAACGTAATATTAATAATACATTTATTACTGTATTTATTCCTCTTTGTTAACGTTAATTAGTTAGTTAGTTAGTTAGTTAGTTAGGTAGTTAGTTAGTTAGTTAGTTAGTTAGTTAGTTAGTTAGTTAAATAGTTAAATTCATGTTAGTTCATGTTAAGTCAGTGTGCATTACCTAATGTAACAAGCACAACTTTGGATTTTAATACATTAGTTAATGTTAAACTATGAAAAATAAATGCTTCACAAGATTATTCATGCTTAGTTAATGTTAGTAAATATATTTACTAACTCTAACTAATGAACCATTATAAGTGTTATTAAGCAAAATCAAAGCAAAACAAAACAAAACAACAATAAATAAATAAATAAATAAATAAATAATGAATGATCGAATGAGATGAACATATTCTTTAAATATGAAAACGTTTGAAATGACGTGTTAAAAAATAAAATAAAATAAATGAAAAAAAAGAATGAGTAAATAAATAAATAAAATAAAAAACAGTGAACATATTATTTAAACATGAAAATGTTTAAAATGACATATTCAAAATAAAATAATGTAAAAAAAATTAAGGAATGAATTAATACAAAAATAAACATAATAATAAAAAATAAGTAAATAAATAAATAAATACATGGCGAACACATTATTTCAATATCAAAATGTTTGAAAGACATGTTAAAACTTAATTGAGAAAAAAAGAATGAATAAATAAATAAAAAATAAGATGAATGCATTATTTCAATATCAAAATGTTTAAATTGACATAAAATAACAAATAAAATGACAAATAAAATAAAAAATGTAAAAAAAATGAATGAATGAATGAATGAATAAATAAATAAATAAATAAATAAATAAATAAATAAATAAATAAATAAATAAGGTGATCGTACTGACATGCAAACGTATTTTTGTCATGTGCACTGTAATCCACACGTGGTCCAGCTGCACTCTCATAGCGGGGAAATAAAAACAAAATCTTCGATGCAGCACATTTATAAATGCAACACTGATGACCGACGTCTCCAAACACTTCTTATTCTTCCACTTGTTTTGGCAGCACAACATGGCGTCTCTCTGCCGTCTGAACACTGTACTGCGTGCTGATTGGTTTAAACCAAGTCTTTCTTATGAATGAAAGCTGCACGCTCAGAGACATCACGATGCACTCGCAGGTACAGACATCCAGTCTACAAGCTGGAATACACACAAGGATCTAATCGGCGTGACGCAGCTTCAAAAATTAGTTTCAAAAGGGAAGAACGGATTTGCTCGAAATATTGCAAAAACAACCAATTATCACGTTTTTGTGTAATATATGTGTCCTAATAGTGGTTTTAGCAGAGTGGGACACATATACGACTGTCAACAGCTCAAAAAAAGTGTTTTGGTGTTTCGTGACCCTTTAAAGGGAAAAGGAGATGAGACTCTAATTGGTTTAATGCATGTGATGCTCAAAACACAGCCAGAACTCATTAAAAGAATAAGCACAACCGTGTTAGACCATGTTTTTTTCTAGCAAAAGTGGATTCAGACATACAGTACCTTTAATGCTTTTGTGCTATGCTCTTTAGACTTTGCGCCTAGATTGTTAAAACAGAGACTAATATGTTTTGCATGTCTAGAGGTTGCTTTTTGATTTAGGAATTTGTAGATATTTGGACTAGAAACAACTCAACAAATCTAAGTAAGAAAATCATTTTTTTTTTACCTTGTAAGGACTGAAAGTATATTTATATCTTCACAAATGCACTCAAGTAAAAGTAGTCACATGAAATCAACGTGTTTCTACATGTTGTTACTTTTTTCTGTAACATTTCTGTTTTCATTGTATGACATCTAGAGTGTACTAACCAGATGAGAAATGTTCTGCATGGGAGGAATGACCCAGTTGTTTGCACTCCAGCTGCCCACAATCACTGATCAAGTACAAATGAAATGGGACAGTGCATTCGGATCCTCACACTCTGTCTTTTTACATTCACGGTTATGCGCTGAGAGCTTGTTTCAAAGTGACTTAAAGTGCATAGAAGGTTAACATTTTAGCAGCACGCGTGTTCCCTGGGAAGAAACACACAAGTCTCGTGCGACCAGTCAGAAGTTTAAAAAGTACTAAAGTACTAAAAAAGATGCTCAGGTGAAAGTGGTGGTCTTGAGTGAAACATATAATTAATTAAAGAAAAATATCTTCTTAGGAAAAAAAAATCTGCTTTTTGTTAAACAGAAATAAACAGGGTGCCTAATAATTCTGACTTCAACTGTATGCGTTCAATCTAACACTACTAGAAGCATCATCTCATGTACTGTCGCCTAAGTGGTATCGGTAGCAGTGCAAGGCTGATGAATTAGCTTTTGTACCTTTAAATAAATATCGATACATGGCTACATCAATAATATATCGTGGTTGGATTTATCACAATAAACCAGCATCGATATTTTGTCCTGGCTCTATTACTAAATAATTAAATGTGATCAAAAATAACACTGTGCAGTCTTCATTGCTGATCCCAACTCCACATTGCAGATGCTGCCATGTGACTATTGTGAACGCACACATTGCAATATCGATGATGAAACGATATATCGCCCTGGATGGCAGTGCATAATATTAATAGTGTATAATATTTTGCTAAATAAGTTTCAAGATACTAGTGTTCAACTTAAAGTGATATTTAAAGGCTTAACTAAGTTAATAAGCTAGGTAAGTTAGGGTAATTAGGCAAATCATTGCATATTAATGGTTCTGTAGAAAATCAAAAACATATATAGCTTAAGGGGGCTAATAATATTGACCTTGAAAGCATTTTAAAATAATTAAAAACTGCTTTTTTTCCAGCCTAAATAAAACAAACAAGACTTTCTCCAGAAGAAAAAATATAGGAAATACTGTGAAAATTTCCTTGCTCTGTTAAACATCATTTGGAAAATATTTTCAAGGATGTTCATTTTGAGGATCCTTACTATTTACATCAATATTTTATATTTTTTTTTCTTTAAATTATCAAGTTAGCCATTCTGTTCAGACTTATATTTTTGTTCCTCGTTGTAAACAATCTATGGGTAAAAGAGCTTTTATGTTTAAGGCTCCAACAGATTGGATTAATTTACTGATGCGAACACTCAATCCATTACATCATTTAAGGTCTTTAAGCAGACTTTGCTATCTTATTTTACTTTGTATTGTACTTGCTTTTCCTGAGGATATTATAATTTATATGTTGCTTGATTTACTGATCTGTATATAGTTTATATATATATATATATATATATATATATATATATATATATATATATATATATATATATATAGAGTTGAAGTCAGAATTATTAGCCCCCTTTTGATTTTTTTTGTCTTTTTTTAAATATTTCCCAAATGATGTTTACAGGGCAAGGACATTTTCACAGTATGTCTGATAATATTTTTTTCATCTGGAGAAAAAGTCTCATTTGTTTTATTTCGGTGAGAATAAAAGTACTTTTGAAATTTTTAAAAAACATTTTTGGGACAAAATTATTAGCCTCTTTAAGCTATTTTTTCTTTCTCGATAGTCTACAATCATTACTCAATAACTTGCCTAATTACCCTAACCTGCCTAGTTCACCTATCTACCCTAGTTAAGCCTCTAAATGTCACTTTAAGCTGTATAGAAGTGTCTTAAAAATATCAAGTAAAATATTATTTACTTTCATCATGACAAAGATAAAATAAATCTGTTATTAGAGATGAGTTATTAAAACTATTATGTTTAGAAATGTGCTGAAACAATCTTCCTTCCATTAAACAGAAATTGGGGAAAAAAATAAACGGGCGCTAATGATTCAGGGGGGCTAATAATTCTGATTTCAATTGTATATATGTATGTATGTATAATACTCCACCCCCCCTCCCTTCTTTTCTTTTCTATTTTATTATTTTTCTTTTACTTTATTTTATTTATTTACTTATTTTTTATAATATGTCATGTTTTTTGGATGTTGTGTACGTTATGTTTTGTCTTCTTCTGTTGTTATTATGTGATTGCGATTAATTGTGGGACCCCCTCGAAAACAAGATGGTACATCTAAAGGGGTTCATCCCAATGAATAAATATCAAATATTTGAAATAAATCACAGGAGAGCTAATAATTCTGACTTCAACTGTACACACAGCGCATGGCATCACACATTCCCCGGCCAACTTCACCCAATGTGACTTTGCTTGCTCTGTGACTATGATGTAAAGCCTGTTGTTAAACGGCTTGAAGCACTCAAGCGGCGATACATCAACCTGTTGTATTTTTATTTTTATTCTTTTTCGGCCAGACATCACAAGGGCCGGGATGCAGGGAGTCAGTAATGCGACGCTCGCCATTTATCAAACGACAGGGTTACTGTGGCTGCCTATCGCTAGGTGCAGTTTTGTAAACAAACATATAAAAAAAAAGGCAGTAATAAATACAGCATGAAGTCTGAACCAACACACAGCCCATCAGGGTGTCACAGGCACCGTTGCTGATAAGAAAAGTACAATAGTAGTCTGCTGAACTCCAGAAATATAAATATTAAAAAAAAAACTGCTTCAGGATCCCAGCGCACACAGGAACAAAAGGTTATCGCGCAGTGTGATCGCATTTGTGTCTGCTTATATTAGTTTGCAGTGTACAAGGACATTTTGTACAGCGTGACATCAGTGATTAGGCCTATGATTCAGTGCATTTCTTAGAAATAGCATTTATAGAGCCTATTAATTCCATTAATTTGATAGTAGAAACCTCCAAGCATTTACGGGTCAAAGATGAGATGTGTTGTTTCAGTGCATGCATCACATTGAATGATTAAAAATTAGTACATGTTGTATTATATTTGAAAGTGTCTGCTTTAATGGCTCAAGTTAATTTTGTAATTTACTGAAGCCAATTCAGCAGCTTATCTAACTAAATAACTTACGATAACGGACCAAAAACTAGTACACCTAAATGTATATGTCAGAAAAATATTAGATACAAATTTAAACAGAGGAGAAATTAAGAGAAGCCATATATATATATATATATATATATATATATATATATATATATATATATATA